AAAAAAAAAAAAAAAAAAAAAATTTGTGGTTGGAGACTTTGGAATACTTTGCAAGTGATGGGGGGTGTTGGAGGAGGGTATTAAGCTGAGATTGCAAGGTCTTGAACAATGTTTAAGAGCTTTTTTTTTTTCATATAGGTGGGGCTGCTGACCTATTTCTTAGCTAATTTTTCAAAAGAGAAAGGAAACTTAACTGATGAGTTGTTTTTCTAATCAGTGGCCCAAATGGCACCAGCGCTGTCCCCTCACCAAGCCTGGTCTGGATTAGGAAGTTACTCAACAGCCAGTTATGGTACCCTGAACTAAGAGTCAGGTCCCATCTTTGCTTCTGAGACAAGAAAATATTAGTGGAGGCTAAATCTATTCATGGAAAGTATCTGGTCCTTAGTTCTTCCCCAAGGTGTGAGGTGGACAAGGGATCTAGGAAAAGGTAACTGGGAGACCCATTGATGTACTTATTGAAAAAGTGCTTGCTAAGTGCTACTCTGTGCCACACAGGACTGTGATAGAGGGGCAAATCAGGTAGACAGGATCACTGCCCTCATGACATTTACATTCCAATAGGAGACATCATAATAAATAAACATGTAAGTAAGTAATTGCTATGAAGATTATGGAACAGGTGATATTTGGTAGGGGGTGGGGTCGGGAAAATTGGAAGAGAAGTCCTCTGGGAGTGACAGTTGACCTGAGGGAACTAGCCATGCAACCTTCAGAGGAAAAAGCATGCCAGGAAGATGGAACAGAAAGTACACAGGCCCTGAGGCAGGGACAAGCTGACATGTTAGACAGGAGTAGAAATGCCTGTGCAGGTGGAGGTTGGAAAACAGGTGAGGCTACACTGGGGCAAACTGTAGGCCATGGACAGAGCTTAGGTCTCATTCTGATTGCAATGGCAAGCCACTGGAGGGTCTAAAACATATTTTTTGCATTCCCCACTCAAGACTCAGTTCAACAATAGGACAAAATACATTAAGAATCCGAAAGAGGGATCAATGAGAGGCTACTCAGAAATATTGAACAAATGGAATAATTGCTTATAGCTTCCAATGATGTCCTAAAATTTACTATCAGATGCAAAGCATCATGGATTATTTACCCAAGTGTTCTGCTCCATCCAGGTTTGGAATCTCTGGTAAGCTGCCCTCACCTGTGCTTCCCTCTGGAGAGGAAGAAAAGGGAGAGGCCTGCTCTTTCTGAGATCCAGCGGTCATAACCACATCAGGAGCCTGAATGCTCAGCTCAGGTGTTATCAACATGGAGTTCTGAAGTCCATGTGGCTCTTCACAGTGAATCAGGTGACATATCTCTGAGAGAATTCACATCTGTATCACCACTTTATTCAATGTGAGGCCTGAAAGGGAGCTTTGGGTTTGACCACTCCACCCCTTCCCATGTAACCCATGGGGGATCTGAAACCACAGAGGGGTTACTGCTTTATCTAGGATCACACATCAAGTTAGGGGGCAGTTATCAATGTAGAATCCATGCCTCCTAACTGCAGTCTGCTGCTCACTGCACTTCATCCAATAGTGCATTGTTTTCTCCTCTTACATGAGTACTTCTTCCACATCTGGGTCTCACCTTTCTCATCTGAGAAATGGGTTGATAACGCTTTCCTAATGGGATTGAATGTTGAATTGTGGATTGAATGGCATAAAAGATTTAAAATGTGGATTGAAAAATGTCAGAGAGAGCTAGAGACATAAGAGGACTATTTGTTTACAGTTACCTTGGTAATCTGACAGGCAATGGGAGTGTCGGGCGACTCTGGCTCACCCATGTGTTGGGTTTCAGGTGTTAAGGAAAATGCAGAGACGCCACAGCAGTAACACGGATAACATTCCACCTGAAAGGTAGGCATCTCTTGCTTTGTTCTATCTGAGGGCTCTGGGCTTCGGGTGGTGAGGGGTAACCCAAGACTGGGTTGAATAATACCTACCTATCAGAGTTGCTAGGTGATGTCCTTATACTGAATACTCAATGCATAATAGCTTGCTCTTGCTTCTCTGGCAATTCTGAAAGCCTGTGTGATAGGTGACGCTCTTGACTCGTTCTATCAATGATTGTTCCTCTGAGATTTTAAGTTTTAGAAGTATCTTAGTCTGTTTGGGCTGCTAACAAAAATACCAGCAACTGGGAGGCGCTTGTGCCTCAGGGAGTAGGGTGCTGGCCCCATATGCTGGAGATGGCAGGTTCAAACCCAGCCCCGGCCAAAAATTGAAAAAAAAAAACCCAGCAACTGGGTAGTTTAAACAAGCATTTATTTTGCACTGTTGTGGAGGCTGGGAAGACCAAGATGAAGGCCCCAGGATATTCAGGTCTGTTATAGACCCACTTTCTGGTTTATATTGCTATGACCTCACATGGTAAAGAGACGAGGGGTCACTCTAGAATCTCTTTTATAAGGGAACTAACCCCATTCATGAGGGTTCCACCTCTAGGACCTCGCCATCTCCCAGTACTTTCTAATACCATCACATGGGGGTTAGGTTTCAACATGTGGCTCTGTGGAGGACAGACCATAAAGGCTAAGGAACAGCACAGAAAGGACAATGACATTGAAAGATGAGTTTTTGTTGCTTCCATTTCCCAAGAGGAGAGGGCATGTCACACCAGGTAGGGCCACATGAGAGAGCGCCAACATTGGCCAGAAGGCAGAAAAGGATGTGGAAAAGTGGCCGGCTGTAGTGGCTCACGCTTGTAATCCTAGCACCCTGGGAGGCTGAGGCAAGTGGATTGCCCTGAGCTCAGAGGTTCGAGACCAGCATGAGCCAGAGTGAGACCCCCTCTCTACCAAAAAATAGCCGAGCATTCTGCCAGGTGCCTGTAGTCCCAGCTACTTCGGAGGCTGAGGCTAGAGAATCACTTAAACCGAAGAGTTGGAGGTTGCTGTGAGCTATGACTCCACGGTACTCTACTGAGGGCCACAAAGTGAGACTCTGTCTCCATAAAAAAGAAAGAAAGCAAAATGAAATAAAAAACAAAAACAAAAACAAAAACTTCAAACTAAGAAGATTGAAAGCCAATTGAAAGTAAAATTTAAAAAAAAAAAAAAAAACAAGAATGTGGAAAAGTATAGGCCACAGCCTTTATCATGTTCCCCTCGGGAAAGAAAAGGCAGGGCCAAGGGAACAACTTAGGATTGGCTAGTTTAAATATCAGTAGGCTCTGGGGTATTGGGGTGGTCTCTAGTTGTTTGGTGTCTGGCCTTGGGTGATTTAGAGCAGGAGAAGTATCAGGTGCATGTATGAGAGTCAGACAGAGGAGGTGGTTGGGGTTATGGACCCTCCATCACAGGGGAGATGTAAACAGTGCTGGCCATTAGTTTGGCCCTATGATTAATGGGAGCCAAATAGATAAATATAGAATTTTTTGAAAACCATGGTCAAAACACTCATGAGCTAGAATTTCTGTCTATTTATACCTAGGAAAGTACATACATAGGGGCCTCTTCGCGGGTTGGGATAGTCTCCCCACCCCCGGAACCCCTGAGCTAGCACATACATTCATGGAGCAGGCAGCCAAGCTTTTCCTCCCTCACATTCCATTCCTGGCTCACTGCAACACTGGAGTGGGCTGCAAGGTCACAAATAATATCCACAGTCCCAGCATTGGGACTGCGTTTTGCATCAAACCTGCCTGTTCTGCAGGAAAAAGCACTGCCATAAATCAGATGACCTTTGGCCAAAATCTCAGCTCAGCCTCTTCCCACCTATGGTGCCTTTGATGAGCAGTTTTACCCCTAGGTCTCAGCTTATCCATCCATGAATGACAGATAATAAAACTCAGAGTTGCTTACAGGTGAAGGGAAGAGTGTGAAAATGCAGAAACACAGCATCCAGCTTATGATAAGAATGCCTGTTGGAGCTTTTCAGCCTCTGACAGCATTGCCACCTGCTCTCAAGGGAACTTTGAGATCTTTGAGGGAGCAGGGACCATGGCAAGAGAATAGTGCCGGCTCGGCGCCTGTGGCTCAAGTGGCAAAGGCGCCAGCCACATACACCTAAGGTGGCAAGTTCGAATCCAGCCCGGGCCCGCCAAACAACAATGATGGCTGCAACTAAAAAAAAATAGCCAGGCATTGTGGCAGGCACCTGTGGTCCCAGCTACTTGGGAGGTGGAGGCAGGAGATTCGCTTGAGCCCAGGAGTCAGAGGTTGTTGTGAGCTGTGATGCCACAGCACTCTACCCAGGGAGACAGCTTGAGGCTCTGTCTCAAAAAAAAAAAAAAAAAAAAGAGAATAGTCCCCACTGTGTATTGAGTGCTTATGCTTGTGCTGCCCTGACATTAGCCTGATGAGATCGGGACTGTTTTGTACCCATTTTACAGATGAGGAAATAGAGGCTCAGAGAGTAAATTACCTAAAGGTACACAGCCAAGAAGTTGGCAGGGCTGAGATTTGGGATCCGGTCCCTTTGTCCCCTAGCATCTGTGCTTTGAGTGCCATATTTTGGCTACCTCCTATCTGGGCATTGCACTCATCTTCCTGGTTTGGCCTCAAGCTCTAGCCCTTAAGTGGTTAAACTGGAAGCTCAGCCTCTGTCCCTCAAAGGAATAAACTTTCCCGTTCAGGCTGAAATCTTGGCCGCATGCAAGGGAGAGGCCCAGGGAAGGGAGTCCAGCTATAAAAAGCCCCTTGGTGCGCCGAGCCTTCCCTGGTTGTCCTGGAGGCCCTCTGAGCCCAGTAAACTCAAAGTGCTAGCAACCTCCAGAGGGAGAGGAGGGCTTTCTAGGGCCCCGTGGGCAGTTGGGGAGAGAGAGTGGCCTCCTTGTGGGCCAACATGGGCAACTGCCAGGACTCCTACTTAAAATGCAGAAAAAGCTCAGGGGCCCCTTGAGGTTCATAGCCATGGTGTTTGTTGTTGTTGGCATTATTAATATTATCATTGTTATTGTCCAGAGCTCGAGGGAGGAGGACCACACATTTCCTGGGCTTTGGGAGCCAGCAGGGAAAGGGCATAGCCATCTTCGGTTCAGTCCCCTGCACCAGGTTTATGGTAACACACCTCTGGGTCTAGTTTGTGAAGCCAGAGAAATCAAACCTGTGACCTGCCAGGCCAGCATGGCCTGGCTCTGTGCTTCTCAGATGTTCTATAAGGTGCAAATTGGTTTTCCCTGGAGAAAAAGAATTCTGTGGTCAAATTTTAGGTTCGTGAAACAGAGGTTTTAAACAAAGTTATTGTTTTTTAGTAGCATTTTTTTTTCTCAGAGCCTTTAGTATGCCCATTCATCCATCCCTTCAGTGTTAACTGAGCATGTTCTTTGTGCCAGGTGCATTGCGCTGGATGGTAGAGACACATCTTGAGGTTGCAGAGCAGGGCCGTGTCGAAAGCTTTAGGCATCTGCGTATTAGAATCACTGGGGAACTCCAAGGAGCTTGAGATGCTGGGCCCATCCACAAAGATTTTGATTCAATGAGTCTCCCATGGGGTCAGGCCCCTGTATTTTTCAAACTGCCACCCTCCCAAAAGATTACAATGTGTGGCCAGTGTTGACAGCCACAGGTCTCAAAGGAAAGATAAGTAATAAAAGGACAACTGGGCTTGATCCTGTGAAGGTAACGTTAGGATACAGTGAGAACCAGGAGAAGGAGCTGTTATTGTCTAGAAGGCATGGGAGTCCCCAGCAAGGAAGAGAGACTGTACCTGAGATCTGATGGATGGGCATACGTTAACTAGGTGCTACAGAGCGAGGATGGGGAGACATCCCAGTGAAGATAGCAGCCTAAGATAGGAAGCCCTTGAGCGGTGAGAAAAGGCACATGATGAAGTTGAGATTGGAAGGCTAAATAATCTAGGGTGTGTGGCAATTTCATCTCTGGCCCTCAGTTTCTTTACCAGTAAAATGAGAATGATATTTGCACCTCTGTATAGGGCTTATCTGAAACTGCTGGAAGGAGTACACCAAGGGAAGCCCTTGGAGAGATCGTAGTGGGCTAGTGAAATAATTGGATGTAGTCAGTCCTCCGTGTTCACGGGGGCTTAGTTCCAGGACTACAACCCTTGGACACCCAAATCTGCTAATGCTCAAGTCCCTTATATAAAACGTCCAGTACAGTCAGCCCTCCATATCTGTGAGTTTTGATCCATAACTCAAGATTGGCTGAATCCTGGATACGAAGTCCTGACTGTATATACAAGTATGTTTTAAAAATGCTATCCTGGGCCAGGTGCAGTGACTCATGCCAATAATCCTAACACTCGGGGAGGCCAAGTTAAGTGGATCCTTTGAGCTCAGGAGTTCAAGACCAGCCTGAGCAAGAGTGAGACCCCTAACCCTACTAAAAATAGCAGAAAACTGGGTGGCACCTGTGTCTCAAGGAGTAGAGTGCCAGCCCCATATACCAGAGGTAGCCAGTTCAAACCCAGCCCTGACCAAAAAAAAAAAAAAATTAAAAACTGCAATAAAGATAGCAGAAAACTGGCTCGGCACCTGTGGCTCAAGTGGCTAAGGCACCAGCCACATACCCCTAAGGTGGTGGGTTGGAATCTAGCCCAAGCCTGCCAAACAACAATGATGGCTGCAACCAAAAAATAGCTGGGCATTGTGGCGGGCGCCTGTGGTCCCAGCTACTTGGGAGGCAGAGGCAGGAGACTCGCTTGAGCCCAGGAGTTGGAGGTTGCTGTGAGCTGTGATGCTCTACCCAGGGGACAGCTTGAAGGCTCTGTCTCAAAAAAAAAAAAAAAAGAGAAAATATCAGAAAACTATCTGGGCATTGTAGTAGGCACTTGTAGTCCCAGCTACTTAGGAGGCTGAGGCAAAACCATTGCTCAAGCCTGAGAGTTTGAGGTTGCTTTGAGCTCCCATGGCTGCAGTACTCTACCCAGGGCAACAAAGTAAGATGCTGTCTCAAAAAGAAATCTGTCCTGGTCTGTGAGTGGGTAACATACAGGATCAAGGGGCAAAGCAGTGGCAAACCTCCCCCCATTTCCATTTTGTAACTGGATGATATCTTGTATACATTTATTAAGTACCTACTGTGTGCCCCAAGTTGTGGGATCTAGAAGGTAAATGAAGTGCAGGCCTTGCTTTAGTAAGCCCATGCTATCACTGGCGTCCCCTGGGAGTCTGTGGAGGTGCATGCAGAGTCAGAAGCAGGGAAGGCTCTGCCTTTCCTCCTCCCCAGGCCGTGCACATATTGCAGATCAGCTCCACTTGTATCTGCAGCAGAGCTGAGTTTCCATGCAGTGATGCCATTTGAAAAGGGGATGAGCACAAGGGAAGAAGGGCAGTGTCCGCAACTCTGGGCTTCCTGCTCTTCTAGCAGTGGCTAGGAAAGAGCCATAGAATGTTTTCCCCTGGTTGCAACCCAAGAAGCCCTTGCTTGGAACTAGAAAAAGCAATTTGGCCCTCCAGGTCTTCCATACAAACTAGAGATGATAGTTCCCTTGTATTGAGCACCTGTTATTGCGAAGGGTATTTTACTGTGGCACCCTTCCCCAGGAATTCTGCGCAGGAATGGTTTTTATGACCATTTTCCAGGTGACAAAACTTGAGTGCAGAAATGCAAGGGCCCTAGAAAGGGCAGAGTTGAAACTCAAATGTGGGCACCTCTACTGTCTTCTTCCCACTGTTTCTGCTGCTCATCAAAGCCAGCCATGATGTGACTCCTTCTTGGAAGTAGGAGTCATTGAACTTGAAGATTCCAGAGCCAGAGGTCTTTCAGTTTCTAAGCTTATTCTAGAAATTATAGAATTCTGTGCTCCCATTGGGATGAAGTACAGTGGTTAAGAAAGTCAGCTCTAGCATCAGTCTGCCTGGGTTCAAGCCGTCCCTCCCCTGTCCCTCTCCATCCCTTGCCAGCTCTGCGACTCTGGGCAAGTTACTTTCTCTCTCTGTGTGCCTTAGTTTCTTTATCTATAAAATGAGGATATTAGTAGGGCCTAATTCTAGGGTAGATAAGAGTTATTTCGTAACTTAATCAACATAAAGCTCTCAGAAAAGTATCTGACACGTAGTAAGTTTTCAGTAAATGTTAGGACTCTACTGCTGTTATTTGTATTATTTTTCTAGGGCTGCATAAGTAGGTACCCCAGACTGGGGAGCTTAAACAGTCGAAATTTCCTTTTGGGAAGTTCTAGAAGCTCGAGGTGTCAGCAGGGTTAGTTCCTCCTGAGGGCTCTCTCCTGAGCTAGTAGGTGACTATCCCCTTCTGTGTCTTTAATTGTCTTCCTTCTATTCCTGCCTATGGCTTAATCTCTTCTAAAGAGGACACCGGTGCTACTGGATGAGGACCAGCCAGAGAAACTCATTTTCACTTTGTTACCTCTTGTGGAACTTTTTCTCTAAATAAGGTCACATTCAGAGGTCCTGGAGGTTAGGGCTTGGACATAATGAATTTGAGGGGGAACAAAATAGCTGGACAAGGGCAGAGCCTGTGGCTCAAGGAGGAGGGCACCAGCCCCATATGCTGGAGGTGGTGGGTTCAAACCCAGCCCTGGCCAAAAACTGCAAAAAAAAAAAAAAAAAATTTCCAAAACAGTTGGATTCATAATACAGGGCATCCCCAAAGTCTCACCTAAAGTGTAACTAAATGTACCTTTATTTACAAAATATTCGTTACAAAATTTATAAAGAGGAGGCCCATACATAGGGAATATTTCATAAATATTTTCTAAAATTTTATAATGAATGTTTCCTACATCAAGGTACATTTAGCGGCTCGGCGCCTATAGCTCAGCCGGCTAAGGCGCCAGCC